AGAGGGAGATATTCTGAGGCAGAGGCACTTTGTGTCACTTTACTGAATTTGCCACCCAAACAAAACACATTGCACACACATTGCTCTGTGCTGGCAGAGCAGAGCCTGCTTGGAATTCTCTCTCCCTCTCTCTCTGCCCCTCCCTGGCTCACACTCTCTCGTGCATGCTCTCAAAAATAAATAAAAATAAACTTGAAAAAAAAAAGTAAATTGGATCTTACTACTACCCAGTTTAAACAGACTTAATGGCTGCCTGCATCACCTCTGGTAAAATCCACATTCCTTCATGGGGTCTAAAAGGTGCAGGTGATCTCGGCCACTCTCCCCCTTGCTCCCTGAACCAGCTTCTTTCAGTTCCTTCCTGTCACTGGGCTCGCCTCTGTCTTCAGGCCTCTCTGTTTTCTGGATGGAACGCCCCCACACCCTATTCTTTCTTGGGGAGCCCTGACTTCAGGTCTCAGCATGAATGCTCCCTGTTAATACAGCATCTCTGATCTAAATTAGGAGCCCCGTATCTTTTTTATAGTTTTTATCAGAATTTGAAGTTATGTATTTATTTGTGTGTTTTTCTCAATGTGCATATTTCCCCCAGTTTATAACCTCCTTGAAGGCAGAGATGACACTTCTTCTTCACTGTATATACCCTAACCACATTTTAGGTATTTCTGACATTAGCTAAGCAAGTAAAACAAAGTAACTTCTCAAAGGGGTCTGTAATCCCCCAAATGGTTAGGTAAACACATGCACGCACATACATGATGCATGCCATTGCTCAGACTAATGTTCAGTTAGGAAAGTGCTACAAAAAATAAATTTAGGGACAACGTGATTTTTAAAAAAAATATATTTTTAATGTTTATTTTTTGAGAGAGAGCACATGTGTGCAGGAATGGGGCAGAGAGGGAGGGAGATAGAGGATCCAAAGCAGTTTCTGAGCTGACACCAGAGAGCCTGACGTGGGCTATTCAAACCCACAAACCTTGAGATCATGACCTGAGCCCGACCTCAGATGCTTAACCAACTGTGCCACCCAGGTGCCCCCATGATGTTTTATAAATATACTTTCTATTTGGAAAAAGTTGGATAATTTTTTTTTTTAATCTCTCTTTCTAAACTCTTTTTTTTTTTTTTTAACGTTTATTTATTTTTGAGACAGAGAGAGACAGAGAACGGGGGAGGGTCAGAGAGAGGGAGACACAGAATCCGAAACAGGCTCCAGGCTCTGAGCTGTCAGCACAGAGCCCGATGCGGGGCTCAAACTCACGGACCATGAGATCATGACCTGAGCCTAAGTCGGCCGCTTAACCGACTGAACCACCCAGGCGCCCCAAAAGTTGGATAATTTCTAAAGAAATTTTTGTTTTTAATTTTGTGTCTTCTGCCATCAGAGGATAATAACTCCTTTCAATTATTGCTGCATAATGAATCATAATCAAGCAGATATTACACTGAATTATATCAGTTTGCATTAAGACATAAACACATATTTCTCCACCTTAATTTTATTTTATTTTATTTTTTTAATTTTTTTTTCAACGTTTATTTATTTTTGGGACAGAGAGAGACAGAGCATGAACGGGGGAGGGGCAGAGACAGAGGGAGACACAGAATCGGAAACAGGCTCCAGGCTCTGAGCCATCTGCCCAGAGCCCGACGCGGGGCTCGAACTCCCGGACCGCGAGATCGTGACCTGGCTGAAGTCGGACGCTTAACCGACTGTGCCACCCAGGCGCCCCACTCCACCTTAATTTTAAAAGAAAAAGCTCCATTTCTCATTGATAGGTCCCTGTACCATGTAGGTGATAGGGATTTTCTTTTTACATATTATAAAAGGATATATATTTGCCCCTTGGACACCTGTTATTCTTTAGAAAGAAGATTGGAATTAAAGCATAATTAACTATACCTTGGCAATAAGTTGTTTGGGTTAATTGCAATATTAGGGGCAACTGAGAATCGAGCAGAACCTCTTTTAATCTTCTTTAAAAATCTCTCCAAAATACACTAGTTCCCTTCCTTGTCTCTGTCACTGCAGGTAGGTAGACACAAACATATTCTGGTGTTTCAGAGTCTTGAGGAGACTTGGCCCCCTGTCTGAACCTTAGCGGTAACTGTACAAGGGAATACGTAAAACCAGGACACGTACTGGAAATCCTGACCAGCTGTCCAAATCCTTTGCCTCTTTCTCCCTCCTGGATGTCAACGGGAGGAGAAAAATCCCAGTCAATAGTGAATTCCATTTCACCGAGTTTACTTTCCCAAAGTTTCCAGCATTTCTCTCAAATAAAAATAGACAACAGAAGCTGTGGTCATGAATTTTGGGAAAAAGACAACAGTCTCCACAACTGTCTTAACTTTAGTTCTATTAATATGTTGCCCCAGGTTGCTCAGTTTCAAAGAGGGAAGCCTAAATGCTTGCTCTTCTTACTATTCTCAATTTTAGCTGAAGCCTCTGCTCACCTCCCTGCTCTGGAAGTATTCGACCTTTCTTGGAACAAATGTATTGGTGGCAACCTGAAGCTGCTTCTGGAAACACTGAAGTTCTCAGAGTCCCTTCAAGTGCTGAGACTGAGCAGCTGTTCCCTGGTGACAGAGGACGTGGCTGTCCTGGGTTCGTATCTACTGGTCCCAAAGCAGTGCTGGCACAGGGAGCCCAGTGCGCCTGTCCTGCAAAGGGAAGGAAGGGAAGGAGGGCAGCCAGACCTGTGGCTGAGCCCTCTGCAAAGCTTCCCTTCTCTCTGACACCTGCTTAGAAGAGATCTGGTGAAAATGAATAAGGGCAATTCAAAGGCCAGGAAGAGAGTGGCGGGCTTTTCACAAAGGGGGAGATGGGCATAGATGTGGTAATGGGTCGTTCCAGCTTATGCTCCTTGCCTTCCCCAAAGTGGGACAGTTGTGGCGTTCTGTGGCCAGCTTGGTGTTACTCAAATTTCAGTTACCTACGGTCTGCCTTCACAAAGTTTGCCCTGTCCACGTCGTACCTGCACTGTTACTTAATTTTTTCTTCATGTTAACTCTTTAACTTAAATGCTTTTATTTAAACAAGAAACTGAGGGGTGCCTGGGTGGTTCAGTAGGTTAAGATCGGACTCTTGATCTCAGCTCAGGTCATTATATCATGGTGTGTGGGATCGTGCCCCTTGTTGAGTTCTGCACTTACAGTGTGGAGCCTGCTTTCGATTCTCTCTCCCTCTCTCTCTGCCCCTCCGTGCCTCAAAAACAAAACAAAACAAAAACAGGAAACTGATAATCACTATAACTGAAATACAGGCATCACTTCTCATATATAGACATTGTTAGACTGTTGCCATATGAAAGCTTTGAATAGAGGTTCATTCTTGGTTAGAAAAAGGGGGAGAGAGAGCTTTAGAGGCATATTAGCATCAATCTGACGCTTTCTCCATGTCAATTTAGAAAGATGGAATGAGAATTGAATAAGGAATAGCTTGTACACTGTGGGATTCAGAGTCTATAATACCATTCTCCCATATCCCCTAAAATCGCCTCAATATGTCCGTTTCCCATTGGAAAACAATGAATTGGAGACTACACCTGTGTCTCTCATCTACTCTTGTCCCCACACCTCTATCGCTGTGCAACCACCAGCTGCCAGATCTCTGAAGTAATGAGCACCCCTCCAAAAACATTTTAGTTAATAACAAGTATTAATGTGTGTGGTTAGCCATTGCCACTTTTATATTGCTTTGATTATTTTAACAAACATCCTTTAAGAATTTCTTAATCACTTGTACCTTATTTTTTCCCTTTATAAATAACAGCACTTTCCCAGAGTAAACTACATAAGTATTTCCACAACCCATGATCCGATCACCCAGATTTTAAAAATATATAATAAATATAAAATTGTGAAATAATCATAATTAGGATACTCACATGATTGGCAAATTCAAACAGTACAGGAAAGTTAAAACAATGTCTGGGATTTGCTTTAAACTATAATAATACGATCATCTCAAAAAGCATAGATTCATCTCAGTATATAGAGAAAAAGCACTTGACAAGATTCAACATCAATGCATGATAAAAACCCTCAACAAAGTGGGACTGGAGGGAACACACCTCAACATAATAAAAGCCATATATGCCAAACCTACAGCTAACATCATATTTTCCCTTCAATGGGGAAAAACTGAGAGCTTTCCCCTAAGGTCAGGCACAAGGCAAGGATGTTCACTCTTGCCACTCTTATTCCACATAGTACTGGAAGTCCTAGCCACAGCAGTCAGACAAAAAAAGAACTAAGAGGCATCCAAATTGGTAAGGAAGAAGTAAAACTTTCACTATTTGCAGATGACATAATGATATATCTAGAAAACCCTAAAGTTCCACCAAAAACTATTAGAACTGATAAATGAATTTGGTAAAGTTTCAGGATTCAAAGTCAATATACAGAATTCTGTTGCATTTCTATACACTAATAATGAAGCAGCAGAAAGAGAAATTTAAGAAAATAATCACATTTACAATTGCACCAAAAATAATAAAATAATAAAATACCTAGGAAAAAACTTAATGAAGGAGGTAAAAGACCTATATTCTGAGAACTATAGAACAGTGATAGAAGAAATTGGAGATGACACAAACAAATGGAAAGATATTCCATAGTCATGGGCTGGGAGAACAAATATTATTAAAATGTCCATAGCTACCCAAAGCAATCTACAGATTCAATACAATCCCTATCAAAATACCAACAGCATTTTTTACAGAACTAGAACAAGTAATCCTAAAATGTGTATGGAAACCCAAAAGACCTTGAATAGTCAAAGCAATCTAGAAAAAGAACACAATTGGATCCTAGATTTCAAGATATACTACAAAGTTGTAGTAATGTCAACAGTATGGTACTGGCACAAATAGACACATAGATCAATAGAACAGAACAAGACCCAAGAAATAAATCTATGCTTATATGATCAAGTAATCTATGGCAAAGGAGGCAAGAATATACAATGTTGGGCAGAGACAGTTTCTTCAATAAATGGTATTGGGATAACTGGACACCTACGTGCAAAAGAATGAAACTGAGCCACTTTCTTCCACCATACACAAAAACTCAAAATGGATTAGAGACCTAAATGTGAGACCTAAAACCATAAAACTCTTGGAAGAAAACATAGGCAGTGATCTGGACATTGGCCTTAGCAACCTTGGCCTAGATAGAACTCCTCAGGCAAGAAAAACAAAAGCAAAATTAAACTATTGGGACTACATCAAAAAAAAAAAAGCTTTTGCACAATGAAGGAAACCACCAAAAGCATGAAAAGGCAACTTACTGAATGGGAGAAGATATTTGCAAATGACATATTCAATAAGGCATTAATATCCACAATGTATAAAGAATTTATACAATTCAACACCAAAAATCCCAAATAATCCAATTAAAAAATGGGCAGAAGAACTGAACAGAGGTTTTCCCAAAGAAGACATACAGATGGCCAACAGACACATGAAAAGATGCTCAATATCATTGGTCAATGGGGGGATGCAAATCAAAACCACAACGAGGGAGGGCCTGGCTGGCTCAGTCAGTGGAGCATGGTGACACTTGATCTCAGGGTTGTATGTTTGAGCCCCACATTTGGTGTAGACGTTACTTTTAAAAAAAATCTTAAAACACAACACAGTGAAGAATCACCTAACACCTGTCAGAATGGTTAAAATCAAAAAGTCAACAAGCGTTGGAGAGGATATGGAGAAAAAGGAACCCTCATGCACCATTCATGGCAATGTAAATTGGTGCAGCTACTGTGGAAAACTGTATGGAGGTTCCTCAAAAATTAAAAATGGAAATATCATGATCCAGTAATCCTACTACTGGGTACTTACCCAAAGAAAACACAAACACTAATTTGAAAAGATATATGCACCCCTGTGTTTATTGCAGCATTATTTATAATAGCCAAGATATGGAAGCAACCTAAGTGTCCACAGACAGATGAATGGATAAAGAAGAGTGATATGTATGTATACATATAATATTTCTGAGCCATAAAAAAAGAATGAGATCTTGTTTAAAAAGATACACACAAACCTACACTTCCCTCTCTTTTTCTTAATTAAGTAAGCTCTACACCTAACATGGGACTTGAACCCATGACCCAAAGGTTGAGTCACATGCTGTACAGACTAAGCCAGCCAGGTGCCCCAAGAATGAGATCTTGCTACTTGTGACAACATAGTTGGACCTAGAGGGTGTAATGCTAAGTGAAATAAGTAAATACTATAGGATTGCACTTATATGTGGACTCTAAAATGCAAAACAACAACAACAAAAACAGACTCTTTTTTTAAAAAATGTTTATTTTTGACAGAGAAACAGAGCATGAGTGGGGGAGGGGCAGAGAGAGGGAGACACAGAATCCAAAGTAGGCTCCGGGCTCTGAGCTGTCAGCACAGAGCCTGATGTGGGGCTCGAACTCACACACCGTGAGATCATGAACTGAGCCGAAGTTGGACTTTCAACCCACTGAGCCACCCAGGCGCCCCACAAAAAAATGGACTCTTAAATACAGAGGACAAACTTGTAGTTACCAGAGAGGAGGTAGGTGGGGGATGGGTGAAAAAGATAAAGGGAATTCAGAGGTACAAAATAAATAAGTCCTGGAGACGAAAAGTACAGCACAGGGAATACAGTCAATAACATTCTAGGATAAATAAAAATAGAATATAGTCATATCTTGGAGATATTGTGGGTTCAGTTTCAGACTACCACAATAAAGAAAAGACTGCAAAAAAGCGAGTCCACTCAATTTTCTGGTTTCCCAGTACACTATACTATAGTCTATTAAGTGTGCAATATGTTATGTCTAAAAAAAAGAACATATTTGCCTTAGTTTAAAAATATTGCTGAAAAGTGCTAACCATCATCTGAGCTTTCAGCAAGTCATAATCACTGATCACATAACAAATAAGGAAAAAGTTTGACATATTGTGAGAATTACCAAAATGTGACATAGAGACACAAAGTGAGTAAATGCTGTTGGAAAAAATGGTGCTTGGTGCAGAGTTGCCACAAACTGCCAATTTGTTATTTAAAATAAAAAAAGCACTGTCTGCAAAGCACAGTAAAGTGAAGTGGAATAAAACGACGTATGCCTCTACTTAAAGAAAAAGAAAGGAAAGAAAGAAAGAAAGAAAAGAAAGAAAGAAAGAAAAAGAAAGAAAGAAAGAAAAGGAAAGAAGATGGGAAGAGGTGAAACAAGACTGATGTAATGAAGCCGAATGATGGGGACACAGGAGTTCATGCTCCTATGTTTTGTACCTTTGAAAATTTCCACAATAGAAAAATACTTCAATAGGAAAAGCATGCACATTGTCTTTAACACTTAGGTCTTGAGAATATGGTGAGTCATGTTGTAGAGCAAGGAAGAGATACACATGAACATGGACACCTAGGAATGGAGGGCAGCTGTTGAGTGCCTGGAATGCTAAGCTCCAAATAAATGCACAGTGGAACCAAACTGTGGGAAAGATTAAAGTGATGGGGATGGAGCATCCTGTTTGTTCTGGAAGCCAGGACACGTGAAGAATGACTGAAAGACCTGGGCACATTTAGTCCTAAAGGGGGAGAAGTTGACGGGACCAGACTCTGGTCCAACACGGCAGGGCTGGTGTGAGGGAGGAGCTGAAGTGTTCAGCAGGCTGTGGGGGCAATCAGTGAAAGTCACTGGAAGGCAGAAAGGGACCCGGAGGAAGGGCTCTCTCCTGCTTGGAACTCTCTCACTCTGTTGGGGCAACCTGAGGGGATGCTTCAGGCAGGAGCAGGCTGGTCTCCAGTAGAGGAGCCGTGAAAGAGAGAGTCCTCTCTGATCATTGATCTGGAGGTTGGATGAGGAGACCTCCAAAGCCCCTGCCCACTCGAGATTCTGTGCTACTCATCTGATCTCTATAATCCATCCCTGCTTTCGGCTGGCAAGGGAAGCACACACTGTTTGCTTTGGGTAGCTCTCCTGTCTCCCCTTACAGGTGTTATCATCTTTTCATTGCTTCATCACTATTATTTATTAAGTGCCATTTTAGGTAGTACTGTGATATGTGCTCTTCAAAGGGAAAATTGTTCTGTGTATTAGAGGTCCCTAAGGTGAATTAGAAACTACCCAGGTGTCTTTTGAGCTTGGAAAGTGCTCAGTTAAATATTTGCTGAATGAAGAATGACTGAATGAGCAGTGAACAATTAAACAGTATTAAACAGCAAGAAGACTATTTACAAATAAATGGTCCTCATTAAAGCCAATCACTCCCATATTTAATTAGAGTCTGCAGGAAGAGCTGGGACTCTAGTTGAGCCAAGAGCAGGAACTTGACAAAAAAGATATTCTTTGGGTTGGGATTTGGAAAGAAAAAACGAACACTTTTCAAGCTGTATTGGAATACACAGAGAATACCTCTGGTAAGTTCAGATGCCCTGATTAAAGCTGGTAGCTAATAACAAATCATTAAGAATCGCCAATCTTGTCATTACCAACCTTGGAGCTACTGTGTTACTGGAAGTGGCAAACAGCCACAGTAGAAAGTATTCTTGTATTTTAGCACTTAGCGTGATCTCATTTTTCAGCATCACTAATACAGACGGGTCATCTTGCCAAGCTGCAGAAGCTTATCCTGAGCTATAACGACAGTATCTGTGACACAGGATGGGCCATCTTCTGCCAAAACATGTGGTTCCTCAAAGAGTTAACCGAGCTGGATATCAGCCTTAGGCCATCAACTTCCCGGGACTGCGGACAATGGTTTAGACATTTGTTATGTGCTGTCACCACACTTCCCAAGATCACGGAGATAGGGATGAAAAGGTGGATCCTCCCTGCTACACAGGAGGAAGAACTCGAACGTTTTCACCAAGATCACAGATGCAGCATTCACTTTGACCTTGGTGAATTTCAGGAAGCTGATTTCCCACGGCTTAACTAAGCTATAAACCATTATCTGGAGGAGGAAAAAAACATGAATGAATCCCAGTGTAATCAAAGGAGTATCAACTTCTGGGCTGTTTAGTGGGATTGATGTTACAAAAGCTTTGCAAATATGTATATGGTAATCTAATATGAGCATGTCTTTATTCTCAAATGACAAGGATGACATTTTCCCCTGGAGTTTCATTTATTTTGGAAATCTAATTCACTTACTATTTAGAAGGCCTGCCAAAGATGTTTAGATTCTGGTAACACATTTCCTTTTTTCTTGCCCTGGAATTTTCTCCCCCTTGTTTTCCCTACATGATAAATGTTCTAAATATAAGGGTGTGTAAGTACATGTGTGAGTGTGTGTATGAGTGTGAGTGTGAAATCTAATGTGAAAAGCACTAGCTATGTAATAGTTTTATGTTATCATTATTATTATATGTATCTTAATGCAAACTACTTGCATTTTCATCAGGAAGTGTGCCCTTCCATGGTTTATTATTTTATGTCCTGGTGCTTTTTATCTCAGATATAAACCATGAATGCTAACAATGGTCACTGACATAAATCTTAGTAAAAAGGTGGTCAAGAAATCAAAACCCAGTATCAAAAACACATCTTGTTAAAATTTTTATTGTTGAAAGAAACTAACATACTAGCTCTGGGCATTTTTTTGGCATGGTTTTTGCTACATAAAACCTATTTAATTCATTAAAAAGTTTTTGTCTTGCTCTAAGTGATTTTTAAAATACTGCGGTATCTTTTGCAGGAGCATGGAACTCACTGCATGGCAGAAGTGTGTGTTTGCTCACACATTTCTATTCTCATACACTCTAATGATGTTTTGCTTTCTTGTTGCTACACTAATAATTTGTGTTGCAATTATTGCTTGAAAGACATGTGGAATTTGAAATCAATATTACTCCAAAAGAAAGCCATCAGGATAAGAAGCTTTTGGGTGATGTAAATGGGGATGTTTTAGGTAATTGTGGTATTCATTCTCTGGGCATCCCCATGGATTCCATGGGCACTTGTGCTCCTGTGTTTACGTGAACACATGTAAAACCTATGAATTAGGCAAAAACTGGAAACACCAATATCCTTCAGTGGGTGAATGCTTAAACAAACTATCGTACTAGGTGATACTGCTCAGCAATAAATTGATACATCAACAATGCAAATGGACTTCCAGTTCTGCTGAATGAAAAAGCCAGTCCCCAAAGGTTATGTAGTCTGTGATTCCAATTATAGGACATTCTTGAAATAACAAAATTACAGAGATGGAGAAAAGGCTAGGGATCAGAAGAGGGGTAGGTCATAGGTGTGACAAAGGAATAGCACAAAGGAGACTTGTGCCACACAAGTCCACATGACAAAACCGTGTTGAACTACACACTCACACAGAAGCACACATACTACAGAAAGAATCTGAATAAGCTCAGTTGATGGCACCAATATAAATTTTCTGGTTTCGTTATTAGAGTTATGTGAGATGTCAACACTGAGGGAGGGTGAAGGGGCATGGACCTCCCTGTCCATTTCTTCAGAACTTCCTATGAGTCTCTATTTCAGAATTAAAAGTTGTAGGGGTGCCTGGCTGGCTCAGTAGGAAGAGCATAGAACTCTTGATCTCGGGGTCATGAGTTCAAGCCCCATGTTGAGTGTAGAGATTACTTAAATAAATAAACTTAAAAAAAAGTTGTAGAGAAGGTAGTACAATGAACCTCCATTTGCCTATCTCATGTGTCTATACTTACTGACATAAGGCCGATCTTGTTTCATTTGGATCCCCCACACTTCCCTCTCCCTGATATTATGCCACAGTTCCCAGGCATCATATCATTTCATCCATAAATATTTCAATAAAGTGAGAATCTTTATTTTTACACATAACCATAATTCTATGAATAATTTTAGTGTGCTAGGTATCTAATTCCTAGATGTTTTGCCTTCGTAATCCATCGGGGTTCATTACCTCAATTCATTATAGAATTATTTCTTATTTTTCTTCACAGCTTTTCCTTTTGCATTTTTCCCCCCTTTCTTATCTTTTGGAGAAGTCTTTCCTTTCTTTTGCACTTTTAGTTCTTCAAATCTCCCCAATCCTTTCCGGACCATTATTCCACGCCACCATGCCTGAATCTGAAAACAAGATAAACCCAAACAGCATCAGCTGGTATCACTCTGGACTGGGGATGGCGATCTCTTTGTTCTGGATATGTAGTTCTAAAGATGTGGAGAATGGAATGTCATTAGAACTCCACCTTATTTTCTCTCTCTCAATTGGCCAGTCATCTTGGCAAATGTAAAAAAATAAGAAGGAAAAGAAAAGAAAGAAAAGAAAAATTCAGTGCTTTTATGTCCTGGGCACTGTTCTAGACATTTAGGAAACAGCAGTTAAAAGCGAATGTCACTGGGGCACCTGAGTGGCTCAGTTGGTTAAGCGTCTGACTTCAGCTCAGGTCATGATCTCACAGTTCATGGGTTGGAGCCCCGCATCAAGCTTCTCACTGGGTGGAGCCTGCCAGGAATTCTTTCTCTCCCTCTCTCTCTGCCTGTCCCCTGCTTGCTCTCTCTCTCTCTCTCTCTCTCTCTGGCTTTCTCTCTCTCAATAAATAAATAAAAACTTAAAGAAAAAGCTAATGTCACTGATCTCACATTGCAGGAAGGAGAGGATACAGGATAGATGGTAATAAGTGCCAAGGAGACAACAGAGCACAGTAAGGGGAAATCAGGAGGGCTTATACCTGTCTTCCCTCTGTTACTGGGTTGCTGTGCTTCTACCTACAGCCAGCCCTCACTCGTTCTGAGATCCTGTGCCCTCCACCTACTCAGAAAGATCCCACCTCTGAACCTTCCAGTGCCTCCCCACTTCTCTCAGAAAAAAAGCTCAAGTCCTTACAGTGGCTTACAAGGCCCTATCCAATCTGCCCCCTCCCTCTCGACCTCACTGCCTCTTACCTACTCCCCCACCTCGCTCACTGTGCTCCAACTGTGCGGGGCTCCCCACTGTCAGACACTCCTGGCACAACCTCAGCTCACAGCCTTTGTGTGTACTGCTTCCTCTGCCTGGAACACTCTTCCCAATATTCAGATGGCTTACCCTCCAGTTCTTCCAGTAGTTGCTCACTTGTCATGGCCGTAGACTGAACCGTGCCCCCTCACTCCCTGCTCTTATGTTAAATGTCCTAACCTCCAATGTGAATGTATTTGGAGATGGGCCCTTGGGAGGTAATTAAGCTTAGATGAGGTCATGAGGGTGGGGTCTTCACGATAAGATTAGTGCCCTTATAAGAGACACCAGAAAGCTCGTTCTGTCTCTCTGTCATGAGAGGACACAGCAAGAAGACAGCCATGTGCAAGGCAGAATGAGAGCTCTCAACAGAAACGGACCATGCCGGCACCATAATCCTGGACTTCCAGCCTCTGAAACTGTGAGAAAATTTCTGTTGTTTAAGGCACCCAGTCTATGGTATATTGTTATGGGAGCTTGAGCTGACTAAGCCATTTTTCCAATGAGGCCTACCCTGACCTTCCTATTTAAATTGAACCTCCCTCAGCACAACCAACCCCCCTCCCCTGCACGCACATGCACACACACACACACACAAAACTTCTGGCAGTCTCAGTTCCCCTTAGCTTGAGCTTTTTTCCCATGCCAGTTATCACTTTCTAACAGACTATATAATTTTATGTTTTATATTTCATCTTTTCATTTCCATCACACTAGACTTTAGGCAATAAGAGGACAGAAAAAAAATCTGTTTTGCTCACTGATGCAATTCCAGTGCCTAGAACAGCGCCTGGCACATAGCAAAAAGCAAAAAATAAGTATTTGTTGATGAGTGAACAACTGAATGAATGAAGTGGGTGGGCTATGCTGTTTTATGTAAGGTGGATCACAGGCAGGTATGAGGAGATGTGAGCAGGGACTGAACTAAGTGAGAGCCTTGTCCGTATCTGAGCAGAGGGAGGAGCAGGGGAAAAATACCAAGGATCTTTTGTGATGTGAAAACGGGACAGATGAGATGGGAAGTGACAGCAGCAGCACATCCGTTCAGGTGGGGATTTTCCCAGGGAACGGTATCGCCCTCTAGAGGCATTCTAGACATTCACGGGGTTTTCTGTTATCTCCAGGCTTAGCAGTCTTCCAGTTGTGTAACATGTACCCGGTGCACAGAGACTTTTCCAGGGTGTGCAGGCTTGGATGATCTGGAGGCGACCCATCTCCAGAGCTTCAGCTTGCACGTGCACCCCTTCCTACAATGTCTCTGCCTAGGAAAACAACTGCTGGTTTTCTCCATTCCCACTTCTGCCTTCACAACTGCCACCTGAATCTGACTAGGGTGTGTTGAGCTGGACTCCAGAAACCTCTGGGACACCACAAAAAAAGAGACAATATAGAGCGGCAGTATTGAAAAAAACAAAACAAATGAACAAACAACGCCATAAAACAGACTCTTAAATACAGAGAACAGTGGGGGCATGAGTGGACTAGGGGACTGGTGGTGACTAACTGTGGTGAACACTGCATGATACACAGAATCGTCAAATCAATATGTGATGTGACCCAAAACTAATATAGAATTGTATGTCAATTACATTTCAATAATAAAAGACTAGCAGTATTGATGTTGGCTCTAGGGACTAGGTAACCAATCCTTTTGTAAAGCAAGTGGTTCCCAGCTCTTTGCCCTCAAGAAAATTGGAAGAAGGCCAGTTGATTTGCCAGCTAAGAGCCTGCTATGAGTTTCTGGGATAGAAATCTGGAAGAAGTTCAGAGATGTGTGAAGCATTACCATTTGAAACAAAACAGTATGGGCGCGCGCACACACACACACACACACACACGCACACAAAGCTTCTTCCATTCTTTTCAATTTAGCTATGTAAACAAGGTTCATCTATAAAATGAAAAATGGGACTAGAACTGACATCAACCCTATCACATTCTAGCAATAAGTAATGCTATAAGCATTACTTATAGTAATGTTTATGTGGGAATATATAAACGATGTGGAAAAGTCTCTCATCTGTGTATGTATTTCTTCCCCCAAGTCCTATAGGTCAAATAATTAACCACCAAAATTTGCAATGGATTTTATGCTGTTTTGTTCAGTTTTACGCAACTAAGAATTGTAATATGACTCAATCCAGGATGTAGAAACACTATGGCCACAGAAAAAAATTTAATTTTAAAACTTAATTTGTATAAATATTTTTGTTGCCTGAAAGTATGAAAGGTGATCTATAAATGACTTAGAATTACATATATAAAACATTAAGATCAATTCTTAGGGGAAAGTGAAATATACATGTTCAAGAAGAAAACGGATATAAAATTTTTGCGTAGAAAATAAGTTTGCTCAAGTATTTCGTAAACCGATGTGACTGACAAAATCATAGTGGTATTTAGAATCCACTGGATACATTTAAGATACTGATCTAAGAGCTCTATTTCAAGATGTCAATATTCAAAACTCACTGGCAAGTAAATCCTTTGCAATAATTTAAACTTAGTGGCAAAAAAATTAAATATCAACTTTATTATTTTTTAATATTTTTGTTAATGTTTATTTATTTTTGAGAGAGGGAGAGAGACAGAGTGCAAGCAGGGGAGGGGCAGAGAGAGAGGGAGACACAGAATCTGAAACAGACTTCAGGCTCTGAGCTGTCAGCACAGAGCCTGATGCAGGGCTTGAACCCACTGGCCATGAGATCATGACCTGAGCCGAAGTTGAACGCTTAACCTACTGAGCCATCCAGGCACCCCTAAATATCAATTTTAAAATGTGCAAGAGGATGCATGGTTTTTCACAATACTTTTAGGAAGTATCCAAAAAATATTATTTTCATTCTTCCAGTGTAGCTATTCCTGAGAATATACATATTAAAATAAATAATATAAATTACTTTCCTTTTTCCTTTATGTTGCAGCTTGGGCATTATTTTCATTTATTAAAATTGTGTTGGGGCACCTGGGTGGCTCAGTCGGCTAAGCACCTGACTCTTGGTTTCGGCTCAGGTCACAATCTCACAGTTGGTGAGTTCGAGCCCTACATCAAGCTCTGTGCTGACAGCGCAGAGGCTGCTTGGGATTCTCCATGTCCCCCTCTCTGTATCTCTCAAAGTAAATAAATAAACATTTTTAAAAAATTATGTGGTTTTGGTAGGTTACATTATCTGAGTTTAACTTCGGAAGAAGAAAGAAGGTATCACATAATATTTATCACAGAAGAGAGGGTGTTAGGTTTGATACAGATAAGGGCCATTGACAGAGGAGATCAAAGACTGACTCTTGTTCTGGGTAAAAAGGAAAATCATGGATTTCAGCAGAGCAGTGATAAGATCTGACCTACATTTTAACAGCATTGGTCTGACTGCCAAGTGGAAGGTATACTGTAGGGGGTACAGCTATACAAGTGGGGGCACTAATGGGAGGACTAATGTGGTCATCAGGTTGTGGGGCAGTGGGGGCTTGACCAGTTGAATAAAGAATACTGAATACTGACTGAAGTGGACCCTGGCCTGTCCTAGTCTGTCTGGGGGTATCCTATGTCTCCATGGGCGAGGTGGGCAAGGAGAGGACAAGATTCTTTGCTCTCCCTGTTTTAAAGGCTCTTTGCCCTTCAATCCTAGTTAATGGCAGAGAAGAACTCCGGTCTCTACACCCCTGCCCTGTCAGGACTTTCACTTCTGATTTTTCAGCCTTAGCTTAGTGAATTTGTTAATATAAGCTCTTCAGTCCTTTGAATAGTCCAAGAATTTTAGACTGTTTGGGGGATTTGAAGTTTTGATTTCTTTCAGCTGTGTGTCGCCTCCTTATCTGACAAAGACATGAAGGACAAAAATGCAAAAAAATGCTAAGATGGTATTCCAAGTTCCTCTTGCTTAATTCTGAGGATATAAAGGAAGTAAGAGTCCCTACTCTCGGTGAGGACAAGGTATAGATGTGTAAAGAGCAGCTCCAGAATAGTCTGTAATATATTTAACATTAACCCCTCTCCAAAGCAACTGTGAATGTGCTATCCAGAATTTTTGCTGCTGTTACCTTTGTTGCCATTATTTTCATGTTTCTTTTTGTCTTAAAGTATGTCCATATAGCCTGATTGCCTTCAGCGCACACTTCTCCTGGGGGGTCCTCCATAGGATTGTTCATCAGTGTCAAAACCTTTAGATTCATCAGGCTATCCAAATTCTCTGGAAGACAGGTGATCAAGTTGTCCTCAAGCAGTAATTCTTTCAAAGCTGAAACAGTTTGTTTTTATTTTTTTTAAATATTTTTTTTTCCACGTTTTTATTTATTTTTGGGACAGAGAGAGACAGAGCATGAACGGGGGAGGGGCAGAGAGAGAGGGAGACACAGAATCGGAAACAGGCTCCAGGCTCCGAGCCATCAGCCCAGAGCCTGACGCGGGGCTCGAACTCACGGACCGCGAGATCGTGACCTGGCTGAAGTCGGACGCTTAACCGACTGCGCCACCCAGGCGCCCCTCAGTTTGTTTTTAAATGATAGGTTTATCTTAAGAACAAGCAAAATTAAAATGTACGCTCTTTAGTCTACTGGCTCTGAAATATTTGTTTCCTGTGCTGTCGTGTCACAAAAGACACAGATTTCATAAGGCAGACCAAGTTCTCTTCCTTATAACAGTTCAGGGTTGTGAGAGCCAGTGCATGAGAGACAGAAAAGTAGTACACACTAAAAAAAATTGATAATGGTTCATTCCTCCAGGGGCCAAGGACAGGATAAAGATGTATGGTCAGAAGCATTACTAAGGAACAAGCCCACCCTCACCTCTAACCTTTGAATGTCTTGGGGGTAGGCCACAGCTTCCACTCATATTTCTTCACCCTCTTTTCATTAAAGAGTCATAGTTTGAAAACTATCTCTAAACCTGAAGATTCAGCACACTATGGCCAAAAACATTTTTTTTTTTTTAATTTGGTCCCCCTAGAAGCTCAGCAAAAGGTTGTTAAATGGATGGATGAACTGATGCATGTACAAATAAAGACTGGTTTAGCCTAGCATAAAATGTTTGGGTGTTTAAATATGAATCATATAGGACTTTTCATGCCAATCATACAGCTCCAAAAGTCCTGCCTTGCTGATTTCATCACTCAGGGTCAACACTTTTCCTTTCATTCAAGTGACTTAGTGACCTAGTGCAAATCTGCCGCAGGACCCCCAACTCCAAATTCTGGCATGTAGTAGGTATTCAGTAAATTAGTGTTGGTTGTATGATGACCATCTGGGTGAATGCTAATTTTCTTAGCAGTTGGTATTTACTCCTCTATTCAATTTACAAGAAACAGTCTAACTGTCTTTGTGAGGCTCTTAACTGTGCTCATCAGGCATCTGGCTTTCCTTGTCTCACTAGTGAGGCCTTCGAGGAGGTAATAGGGTAGGGCTCAGCTCTCTGAGCATTGAGATTGGTCTTTGGTAAATCAAGGAAATGGGACATGCTGGCCTCACACTCCACTACACTGAGGATCTACTAAGATTCCTCACCTTGTGCTTGGCAAATGGAATCTGGAAGTTGCTTAAGCAGGTTGTGGCAGCAATTTAGAATTTCCAGGTTAGGCATGGATCCCAAGGATGTGGGCAGGTACTCCAGATGATTGTTCTCTATATACAGCTCTTTAAGATTCTGAAAAACAGAGGTGCCTGGGTGGCTCAGTCAGTTAAACATCTGACTTCGGCTCAGGTCATGATCTCACGGTTCATGGATTTGAGTTCTGTGTCAGGCTCTGTGCTGAAAGCTCAGAGCCTGGAGCCTGTTTCTGATTCTGTGTCTCCCTCTTTCTGCCCCTCTCTTGCTCACACTTGTCTCTATCTCTCAGAAATAAACATTAAAAAAATTTAAAAAAAAAGATTCTGAAAAACATGTCAGTAGACCATAATGATCCTTACATTCTGAAAAACAGGTCGGTAGACCATAATGATCCTTACAATGATCCTTACATTCTTTTTTTTTTTTTAATTTTTTTTTTTTCAACGTTTATTTATCTTTGGGACTGAGAGAGACAGAGCATGAACAGGGGAGGGGCAGAGAGAGGGAGACATAGAATCAGAAACAGGCTCCAGGCTCCGAGCCATCAGCCCAGAGCCCGACGCGGGGCTCGAATTCACGGACCGCGAGATCGTGACCTGGCTGAAGCCGGACGCTCAACCGACTGCGCCACCCAGGCGCCCCAATGATCCTTACATTCTAATAACCAGAATCATTGGTGAATTCCCATGCTCTTTCAGTGGGGATACTATTCATTAGGATAAAGGGGGAAACATACTTAAAGAGCCAACATCCAAACATAAAAGTATTTTTGGGTAAAACCATTGGATATGGTTCCCATCTACACAGGGAAAAGAAAACATGGGAATCTAGCGTTTGTTTCACAAGAACTTTATGGAAAACTAATTTGATAATGTAAGTACATATATCATTTGCTCGCTTTCAAAAGCTAATTATCTATAGTAGTGTTACAGAACTGAAATTGCCTCAGGTATCAATCCAACACTGCCCAAGCAGGAGAAGCCAAAATGTGTAGATAATGAGTTAACTATTTGCAAATTCACTGGGCAAAAATATAATGTTTGCATGTCACCCTAAGATTTCAGAGAGCATGGCATGGCATGTCAAGGAGCAAGATGATGAGGAGAGTTCTGAACACAGGGCAAAGCAATGGAGAATCAGGAAGAGGACCTCTGTGCCACAGGTTGAGAAGCACCTGTGCTATATACACATGCTGTTGCTCAGTTCCACAACGAGGGGCGGGGGTCTGTCGTGGCCCGCACCTACTTTATCATTAGTAAGAGCGCAGTACCACCGACATGGAAAAAAAAAAAATCAATTCTTTAAAGTCTGCATGGATTAAGACACAGTGGTAGGGCTCCTTTGAATGAAGTTATCTTGTTGCTTTGTTAGGACTTAGCACAGGGCTGCGGACCCATTTCCACAGGAAACTGGGGCAACATTAAATTACTCTGGTTTGTTTGCCATCATGCAGGAAGGGAGGTCACGCTGATGCATCCAAAATGCGGGCTCCCAGCCATGTGAACTTCAAAATAGTACAATTTTCAGGGGCCTCCTACAAAAGCTAGAAATTAAATGGAAAGCAGTGGGGCTCAATTTCTGCAAATGAAACATGCCAAACCGTACAGTGAAAAGGAGTATGGCACAGCATAACCAACAGCAATCACAACAAAATGTTCTTTGAATATGGATCCAGGGGCTCAGAAAAACAGTGGAAGCCTGAGTGGAATAATGGCTACTTGTTAGGGGGTTGGAAATCTAGTATGGATGATTCCACATGCAGCCTATGGGGACACCATTGGGTGTTCTCAGTATCAGCCAACTTAAGGAATCAGTGGGCATGTACTTCTTTGCCTAATCATTTGGAGAGGCTTACCTGTAGTTTACTAATGTCTTCTGGCATATAGGTGAGCTTGGCTCCCTGGTCTTGCCCAATGTATAATTTCTCTAAAGACTCTAAAGAAAGGATTTCTTCTGGAAATGAAGCCAACTGATTTCCTGTTAATCCAAGCATCTTCAGCTTTGAAAGGGATACAAAGTCTGGAGGCAACTAGAAGTATTCCAAAAAGATAAGTTTCAGGTCAAAATTATTTTTAACAGTAAGAAAATAAATTGGGCTTTTAGTTTTGAGGCAAATTGATAAACATCAAGTACAGCGATTTAGCAATTCCTACTGATGAAAAGTTTGCACACACCTTTGCATATAGAGTATTTATACCTGTAGATCTAAAGTCTGGAGTCCTCCTTTTTCTGATGAGCCTCTCTGCTCTTCAATTTTATGCACTGCTTTAAACTGAAGCAATTTTAAACCTACTTTATTGCAGATTTTTGAATGGTAGGGTAGAAAATGCTTGATATTACTGAAAAAGTTCTAAAGTTATTGGTGTAATATTGCAACTATAATATCAACAATTTCAGTTATTGGAACTGATCAATTTAGACACATGACCTCTCACCCTAAAGGCTCAGCAATTTAGAAACTTCAGTTGAAATCTCAGTTGGAAGTAAACAAGGAAGAAGACTATTATGATTTTATCTGGTCATATTCTGCCTTCCAGTGAATCCCAAGGTTTTACAGGCCCTTTACAGGTATTAGGTAGGCATTTCAGAGACTCCCAACTGTCTGGGCAGGAAGGCCTTGGAAGGGTCGTCTATTCTAATCCCATAATAGGATGGTTGAATATACTCCACAGCTAGCCATCCAGCACACATTTAAACACCACTTCCTGGAACGAAAAGCTCATTACTTGGATGGAGACCTCTAATCGCCAGATTTCCTTCTTGTGTCAAGTCAAAGTCTCGTGTGTCCACCTTCTGATCTCTTTCTGGCACTCTGGAACCACATGGAAAAATCTCATTCTTAAAACACGGGATGGTCTCCCTATTGATTATGTTACAGAGACACCTGTTTTCTTGGAGAAAAAAGAGCCCAGCTATATAGCTCAAGAGCTTCTTAATTCACTTTGAATCACCTTCCATCATCTGGCTTTACTCCTAATGGGGAAATCGTTCCCCACAGTTCCCAGTCTTAGCCCTGGCCTCTCCTCCACCCGTTCCTCAATCCAGCACCTCTTCTTCATGAGAATGGTTACAGTCCAGCTCAGTCTGACCCCTCGATGGATGGGTGGGATAGATACATTGGGGAATAGGTCAAAAGAAAGCCCCCTAGAGGGATAACATAGCAGTAAGTCTCACCCGCCATCTTTCAGATTTTTTCTTTATTGGGTAGGGGGAGCACCCATTTTCCTAAACATGCTATAAAGTGTTTATAGTTTTATTTATCCCTTTACTTATTTTTTTAAAGTCAATCTCCAGAGAAGCTGCTGTTTGAGCTTTCCTTCTTAGCTATTTCAAAATTCTCTACCGGGCACTTAGATCCCTTTGACACAAAGCGTCCAAACTTATGGGAAATTGTTTTTCAATCTAACCCCTTCATTAGAACCTAGTAATTTCACATCGCGGTTCAGCTAGCTCATAGGTTTAGCTTTTCTTTTTCTTTTTTTTTTTTTTAATTTTTTTTTCAACGTTTATTTATTTTTGGGACAGAGAGAGACAGAGCATGAATGGGGGAGGGGCAGAGAGAGAGGAAGACACAGAATCGGAAACAGGCTCCAGGCTCTGAGCCATCAGCCCAGAGTCTGACGCGGGGCTCGAACTCACGGACCGCGAGATCGTGACCTGGCTGAAGTCGGACGCTTAACCGACTGCGCCACCCAGGCGCCCCAAGCTTTTCTTTTTCAAAGCACATTGATTGTTTAAAGACTTTTTTTTTTCAGGATATTCAAGATCCAATAATTAATCCCATAACAGTCACATTAAAGCACAGTGGAAGTAAATCTAGATGCACAGAAAACCTACAGAGTGTCAAATGAGGACAGTTATTACTGATGCTCTCACTGAGCTATACTCACCGTAAGGTTGAGTTCTCCCTTAACAGAAATGTACCATACAAATAAGATCCATCTAGACACACACTGAAAGCTACTTTTGCATTCACCTAGGCAAGAGAAGGCTACTGGCCAGGCTCCAGGAGCCAGAAACCCATCAGGAAAGTCTTTGGGGTGGGAGAGGTAAGGAGCTGGCATAAGGTCACATGTCATTATACAGACTGGGAGGTTACTGGAGGGATTAGCATAACAGGAAATGAGAAAAACAAACAAAACCCAGAAATACCATCATAAGAATTAGAGAACAGAATAGCAGGCAATGGACACAGAGATTTCCACATTCAGTATAATAATATTGAACACGACCACATTTCAGTGCAGCCTGATTTGTGGTAAAACTTGGTACCGGATGAGGCTTATCTTTAAGGAGCCATCTGTATGTGATTCCTTCCTCTATTCTGATATCTTAAAGTGTTTCACAGGAAAGGATTAGGTATCATTCATGACTCAATAAGGAATTAAGTCGACGTGTTATTTTTCCCAAAGGCGATGTGTTATTTTTCCCAAAGGCGCTTTATATTTTGAGCCTCTCACTCCCAGTGTGGAATGGCAGACTTTGTCTACTGTAAAAGGAATTTCTTACCTCAGTGGTGGAATGGGGATGGGCAGAGGGCCTACGATAAACTTCTAAAATCCTCCAAAATGGGTTGCTGCCTAAGTAGAGGTTAAGTCCAAGATTCTCTTCCTAAATCCTAAATTACCATCAAAATGGTTACTTCCTAAAAGGCAGTTTTGAAACTCTATAGGAATTAGAAAAAGAACAACCAATCTCCCCCGCCCCTCCAAAGTTCTAAATTAAAAATCAAATAAGAGATTAAACAAAAACCAAAACACCCCCAACAAACCTTTAAGGCCTAGGACTTGTATAAGGTATGGTGAACACAGCAGCTTGGTGTCCATGGCCGGGAAAAACACACCTATTATTTGATCACAGTTGTTGATTTCCAGATGGCCTGATTTCTCCCTCTATGGTTGTCTTTTGCTTTTAACAGAACTGTTCTTTTAAATTTTCAAACATTAAAACAAATGCATGTGTCCTCACCACCCAAATCTTTTGTTAATAAACAAAATGAATGTGTGTCAACTATAGTCAAATAAAAAGATTTTTTTAATAAAATCAAATACTGCAATTAAAATTGAGCTCCCCTGGGATCCTCCCCTCATTTCCTTGACTTCCTTTCTCTTCCCAGAGGCAGCCACTACTAAAAATTTAGCGAGTTTTTTTCTAGTTCATGATTTTTTTTTAAATAAATGTTTATTCATTTTTAAGAGGGGGAGGGACAGAGGGCCTGAACTGGGCTCTGCACTAACAGCAGAGAGCCCCATGGGGGGCTCGAACTCATTCAACTGGGAGATCATGATCTGAGTCCAAAGTCCAACTGAGCCACCCAGGGGCCCGTCTAGTTCATATTTTTATACTTTTGTTACATTTGTAAATATCCACAAAGTATGTATTATGTGTGTATATGTATGTAGTTTTGTGTGATTAAAAATTTATAAATGGTGAGGGGCACCTAGATGGCTCTCAGTCAGTTAAGTGCCCAACTTCAGCTCAGGTCATGATCTCTCAGTTCATGGATTCAACGAGCCCTGCATCCGGGCTCTGTGCTGACAGCTCAGAGCCTGGAGCCTGCTTCGGATTCTGTGTCTCCCTCTCTCTCTGCCCCTCCCCCACTGGTGCTCTGTCTCTCAAAAAATAAATAAAAACATTAAAAAAGGTTTTTAAAAATTTATAAATGGTGTAAGGTTCTGCAGCTTGGTGCTTTCCTTTTTAATAAACATCACAATTTTAAGATCTGTCCACATTGGCACATACTCCTCCAGTTCACTTAAACCTTTAGTTTTTTAATTTTATAAATCTAGCACAATCTGTTTGCTCATTGCTCTATTGACACGGTCTCCCATGACTGTGGTGGGCTGTCAACACTGTGCTATGAACATTTTTGAACACGTCACCCTGCCCACATGGCAGTTTCTTTTGGGACAAATCTGATTTTGCAGTTCACCATGACTGGAGGCCTAAGGCTGTAGGTGTCAGAAAGAAATCTGTGTGAGGAAACCCTGTTCAGAGCGGGTCTTGGTTAAGAACATAGACTCTGGGGCCCCGCAGCTCTGGGTTGGAGCTCGGTTCTGCCACGTACAGGTGTGTGGCCTTGACGGGTTAGTTAAGCTCCCAGTGTCTCATTTCCCCCACGTATCGCCGAGGAGAAGATCGCCCACGTCCAAATGAGGAGGACATCAACACCAACTCAGGGCGGGAAAAGCCCCTGTGAGGGCACAGTGACAGCCGGGAAGGGAATCGGTACCTGGCATATTTTATTATCATCCAGCGCCAGGATCTCTAGGTTCCTGAGCGCACAGATCTGCAGCGGAAAGCGTTCCAGGTGGTTCTGGCTGAGATCCAGGAAGCGCAGGTTGACCAGCCGCCGGAAGGAGCGCCGCAGCGCCCGCAGGCCGGTGTCGCGGAGGTAGATCAGGTGCAGCGAGGTCCACTTGCAGATGAGGCGTGGCACCTTCTCCAGGTGGTTCCCGCTCAGCCCAATCTCCGTCATCCCCGACAGCTCGGCCAGGGAGTGTGGGAGCGAGTGGAGGCGGTTGTGGGACAGATCCAGCACGGACAGTTTGCTGCACTGGCACAGCGACTCGGGTAGGAGGAGCAGGTTGTTGCGAGCCACGTAGAACTTCTGCAGCCTGGTCAGGTTCCCAATCTCCGGTGGGATGGCAGTTAGTTTGTTGTCATCCAGGTCAACGATCTCCAGGTTGGAGAGAGCACAGAGCTCGGGAGGAAAGACTTCAAACTGGTTTTGCTTCAGGTAGATCTCCCTCAGTTTGGTATGGTTCACTACTTCCTTGGGCAGAGATTTCAGGTGGTTTCCGTCCAGCCCAAGCAGCTCGAGGTGGTGGAGGAGTTTGCAGAGGTCCACGGGGATCTCGGCCAGGTCAGTGTGGTACAGGCGGAGCTCCCGCAGCCCCCGCAGGCCTCTGAGGACAGGAAGGGCCGAGGACAGGAGCGGGTTGTCACTCAGGTCCAGGCCCTCCAGGCTGCTCAGCGTGCCCAGCTCTGGGCACAGCTTTCTCAGCTTGTTCTTGTTCAGGTAGAGGATCCGGACGTTCTTTAAACGCTGAATACCCCGGGGGATTTCTTCAATCTGGTTGTTTTCCAGATGCACTTCTTCTAATTCTTCGAAGTCGAAGATCTCTGGTGGAATGGTAGTCAAGCTCTGATTAGAAGCATCAATGAAAAAGGTTCTAGCAGTGGCCCGTTGTGGATCAACTTTCTGATGAATTTTAACGGAATGACCTGGTTTTATCATGTCACTTGACATGTTGATGGAAAATGCAAATATCCAAAATCTGAAATAGCGTGAAAAGAAAAAAAAATCCATTTATTCACCAGGATTCTTTCTGTCCCTGAGAGAGAGAAAATTTGAGTTGCTTGAATCTAGGGCGTGATGTTCTAACATAGCATGAAATGTAGGTTTTCGTGTTTCATGTTGGGAGAAGAGTTCAAGTATAGACTCCTCCTAACAGGTTGACTTACATGAAGAAAAAAAAAAAAAGATTGTCTAAATTCAGTTTTTAAAAATCCCTATCTTGATTCTCTTTGCAGGTAGATGTGGAAGGTTGCAAAAGATTGCTCTTACCACGAACACTGAGAAAACACTTGGAAAAAATAATATTTTAAAATATTATGTTTTTTTCTTGAAGTCACCAGAGAGTTGTGGATGCAAAGGGGGCCCAACGAATTAATTCTAGAGAAGGACTATCCCTTCCCTAAGTTAGCAGAGACCAGTGGACACTTTCATGCCCGGTGGCATTTTCAACTTTGGGGACCAGGCAGGCAGAGAAGCCAGCCTTCCATATGCACAGGCAAAGGAACTTCTGAAACCAGGAGAAACCAGTCAAGCTTTTAAAAGCCCTGTATGAGCAGCATGGTGGATTAGCACGGAGGAGCCTCAAATGCAGAGCCACCTCTCCCCAGTAGCCTGGGGCCGACTCAGTGGCCTAGGAAAAGTTGCAGGCGATCTGGAAAAGCAGAGAGAGGTCCTGTCCTCTCATGCTTTTAGATCCCTAAGCCTGGCTGGAGGAAGGGGCCTAAATCCCTAAGCGGGACATTTGAAATTGCTGGGAATTGAAATGAACTGCAGCTGCAACCCAGAAAGAATGGAGAAATGGAGAAATAAATCATGTCTGTGGATTAGAACACTCAATGTTAAGATGTCAGTATTGCTCAAATTGATCTATAGTTTCAGTGCAACCTCAATCAAAATCTCAATAGGCTTTTTTTTTTCTTTTTTGGTAGAAGTTAGCAAGCTGATTCTAAAATTTCTATGAAAATGCAAAGAACCTAGAATTGCAAAAAACAATCTTGAATGATCACAAAATTGGCAGACTTGCACTACTGGATTTATAAATTTTGTACATCTAAGATGTTAATATTGTGTTACCAAAGACTAAGTTGTTGGTCCTTAGTACACACACATACACACATGCACAAAGCCTAAGAAAAAGGGCAGAGAAGACAATGATGTGATGGTAGCTAGGTTGATTGTAGCATCTCTGACTTGCATTCTAGGATGGGGACTTTCCTGCTGGAGTATGGAGCCTCTCATCCACACAGAGGTCCAGTCCCTAGATGGAGGGGATGTGCTTCGAGCCCCACACTTAATATTACTGCACCTTGCAACACAACAGTGTGTGGTTTAGATCCCTGTTACTATATGCCTAGCCTCCAAAAGAGCTCTGGGACAGTGTTGCTCTCTGTTAAAGAAAAGAAAAGACTTATCACTGGTTGAATTATGGCTAGAATGCCTAGAATTATGCCTAGAATGAATTATGCCTAGAATGAGAATTATGCCTGGAATGACAAATGCCAGCATTTGTCATTTGATCATTAGGTAGATTAATACTGTTCAGTCCTGCAGGATACAATTTCCAGTGTCCTAAACTACTGAAAATACTGAAGGCCTCTAGACAATCCATAGTATACAGACTAAGGTGATACTAGAAATGAAAATAGCACCCAGGACATTACGTGGGCTAAGCTTTACTCAATGCATTTAATCCTCACTAGAACCCTGGGAAGCAGGCACCATTATGATCTCTGTTTTACAGATACAGATACTAAGTAACTAAAAGGGCTTATCTCAGAACATAATAGGAAGTGGGGGCTGGATATCCTCACTAAGGATATTTACATTATTTGTTTACAAGAAGCCTGGTTTTTATTAAAATCAGTCTTGGCTGGGGCACCTGGGTGGCGCAGTCGGTTAAGCGTCCGACTTCAGCCAGGTCACGATCTCGCGGTCCGTGAGTTCGAGCCCCGCGTCAGGCTCTGGGCTGATGGCTCGGAGCCTGGAGCCTGTTTCCGATTCTGTGTCTCCCTCTCTCTCTGCCCCTCCCCCGTTCATGCTCTGTCTCTCTCTGTCCCAAAAATAAATAAACTTTAAAAAAAAAATTAAAAAAAATAAAATAAAATAAAATCAGTCTTGGGTGTAAGCATTCAGGCTTGATTTTCTTTTGCAGCCCTTCAGGCAGAGTCATCTGGGGAAGATTCTTGTGGACTAGCCATCTGATTAGGGTTAACACAAGTGTGTCTGGGCATCCAGGTGCATAAAAGAACTTATTTTTTCTAATATTCATCTTCCTCCATGATGAGACCTGCCTAGAATGTCTGAATGTGTGTGTACGTATGTTATCTCACCAGAATCTTATAGCCCACATGTGTCTGGAACCAATTTGATGGCCTCTGAAAGCTATATATATTGTATATCCATTAGCAGACTTAATAAAAGGAGGTTGTAAAGTCAGGATTTGCAACAGCTTGGCCAGTAATTCAGCCACAGTAAATAAGAATGAAGAAGATTGATTCCTTATTTGGCTATTTTTTTTTCATTGGGATTGCTACCTCAACGTGGTCAAATTAACTTGTTACAAATCCATATTACTGTGGAATTTCTAAGCGTCATAACCGTTGTGTAATTTCAGGGAGCCAGGTTTTGGATAGTTTAATAGTTAGCTCTTTTTTGCTTAACTTTAATGCTTGAGAAAACCATTTAGGAAAAAATGATCAGCCCTCTGAAATTTACATCAAGTGTTGACACTTTGGTTTTCAAGTCTGATTACACACCAACTGGATGTGTAATGTGAATCTGATAGCATAAATAACCATTTCCAGTTAAATTAGCTTCAAGATTTTACTTAAAACACCTGGGAGATCTCCCTTTAATACAGACAAGCAAAAAGCCTCAATACAGTTAGGACTGGAGAATCATGTAATGGTAATGGTAATGGTAATCCTTTGCTTTGATAACAATTTCTGGGAAACCATAAAATTCCATGAAAAATTTTGAAGTCTCAAGTAATACTGAGATGAAGACTCATATAAAATTCAGACTTGAGTGGAAAACTATTATAAGCAAGCAACTTTAGATTTTCAGCAGAGGCAAGGGAGAATCTAATCTGCTCAGACAATAATAAAGGAAGATTCTGGGTGTGATATTGTGATAGAATATATATTTGGTCTTTGTTCCCTAGTTCCTGATACAAGAGCTTCTAAAACTTTGGTGTTTTCTGAGTGGTTGGGAAGGAGCATCTTTTGTTATTCATAATAAGCCCCATTCAACCACACCTGAGTCCATACCGCTTACTGCCCTCTTATTTGCACCCTGATAGCTCGCTAATGGCAGCTGGTTGCCAGAGGAACCACTCACGTGATTAGAGGGGCGGAGCTTTCAACCCCAGCCCTTGACCTCAGGGGAGGGGAGAGGGGCCGGATGTTGGTTTAATCACCAATTGCCGGCGATGTAATCAATCCTCCCTATGTACTGGAGCCTCTATAAAAACCCTAAACCGAGAGGTTATGGGAGAGCTTTTGGGTTGGTGCTGGAAGGCTAATATTCCCAGAGAAGGCATGGAAACTCTGCGTCCTGTCTTGATACCCTCTCTTCCCCACATGCATCTCTTCCATTTGGCGGTGCCTGAATGGTAGTTTTTAGAATACAGCGGTAATAGTAAGTAAAGTGTTTCCTTGAGTTCTGTAAACCACTAAAGCAAATTATTGAACTTGAGGGAACCCCGACTGGTAGTCCGCTGGAACTGGCGACAACCTAGGATTTGTGGCTGGCATCTGCAGTGGGAAGCAGTCTTGTGGGACTGAACCTTCACCCTGTAGGGTCTGTGCTAACTCTGGGTACAGTGTCAGAACTAAATTTGTGGACACCTACTTGGCGTCCGCAGAGAACTGGAGACTTGCTTCTTGGGAAAACCCACACAGTTGGTGTTAGAAGTGTTCTCTAAGTAGAAATTTCATACTTAGTCCTGGGATACTGAGACGTACGATATGTTTTCTTAAGAGAAGTAGAAGTCTTTAATCTGGTAATGAGCTCTGAAAGGCTTGTAGGTGAAGAGCTCTACCAAGCCCAGGGCCAGTAACCCTTTCCTTTTGAAAACCTGAGATCAGTGACTTAAAGGTAAAAAAGAGGCCTTAGAGAAACATCTGTTTGCCGGAATTGTTAGCTTGTGCCACACCAGTGTGCCCGTATCGCCATCGTCACCAAATGATCGATCTGAAATAGCTTCTTAGGACTTGTTGTCTTTAAATAGACTCAAAACGGCATTTTATCCATTTTCAAAAATGTTTCCACTTTTCCTTCTTCCACACATATCACCAAACTATAGATCTAGTAATTCATAGACAATGCATTTATTATTTGTAGAATGTGGTTTTTTTTTTTTCCCTAGACTATTGTCTTGCACAATGAGCAAGAAGGTTTGAGGCACTATTTACTACTAATCACTGATATACTTTCTCTCGTCTCATCAGATATTAAGAGTGTAAACTTTTCCACCAACTCCCTCTACTCTTCTTTTATCCATGGGCCAACTCAATTTTTTAATAACACTCACTTTTCCACCTGCATATTCAGTACCTAAACAACATGTATGCACGATCAACACCAGAAGTCGGCACTTCAGATACTCGTCAGAAAATTCAACCAGGAATTTGCTCTGTTCTGACACCTGCTAGCAGCTCAGTTGAATCTTCTGGTAGCTGGGGGGAAAGAGCTAATGGGTGTGTGAAACATTAATTCTCCCAGATCCTTTGAGTTCTCTCTCCGTGTTAGCAGGAAACAACTTCCCTAGACCCTATTATCTGTTTCCTCAAGATAGGACTTCCTTAGATCATAATTAAACACCATGCTGTTGGCTTTTTAAACAGTTAAACAATCATTTGAAAAATATTTCTATAGGGGCGCCTGGGTGGCGCAGTCGGTTGAGCGTCCGACTTCAGCCAGGTCACGATCTCACGGTCCGTGAGTTCGAGCCCCGCGTCAGGCTCTGGGCTGATGGCTCGGAGCCTGGAGCCTGTTTCTGATCCTGTGTCTCCCTGTCTCTCTGCCCCTCCCCCGTTCATGCTCTGTCTCTGTCTGTCCCATAAATAAATAAAAAAACGTTGAAAAAAAAATTAAAAAAAAATATTTCTATAAAACTATAGTCAAAGACATGTCTGTTAAGTTACTTATATAAAGATACACCTACTAAACCTTCCTACTATAAGGTGCCAGAGGAAAGTAAATGCTGCCATTTACAGGGGCACCTGGGTGGCTTAGTCGGTTAAGTGTCCAAGTTTGGTTCAGGGCATGATCTCGCAGTTCATGGGTTCAAGCCCTGCGTCGGACTCTGTGCTGACAGCTCAGAGCCTGGAGCCTGCTTCGGATTCTGTGTCTCCCTCTCCTCTGCCTCTCCCCCACTTGTACTCTGTCTCTTTCAAAAAACAATCATTAAGAAAAATTAAAAAAAAAAAAAAAGAAAAATGGGGACTACGTACTTTCATATATTTTCTTTGGTTCTGACTTCTAGAAAGCCGAGATTCAAGTTAGACCTCCTGACACATAAGCACCCAGTGAATCCACTTAAGTTTCCTTGAAGCCAGCTCAGCAACATCTGTTTCCCCTACCTCCCTGCCCCTCAGCCACTAATTCTCAAGGGGCAGGTCTTTAAAATTACATCCCTCCTCCATCTGGAAATCATTGGGTTAATGAAAAATGTACTGACGGAAATGAGTTGTACATGTGGTCGGTATTTTTTGGGCCATCCTATTTGATATGCGTTTTGACACACAGTCTGTAGTTCTGTGCAAATACTTTGTTTTGCTAAGGTTCATATGGAGAACAGTGCGTTAAGTGCTGTTTGGTGAAAAGCAGCTCTTTTCTGTTTGTTCTGACCTTGTTTATTAGTCACTCTCTAGAACAAAAGTCTGATTGGCACTTCTTCCTCCTTTAAAAGTGTATCCCTCCCTTCCCCTAGAAGAGCAATTAATCCTTAACAACTCCTTACTTTCCTCTACTTGACTTCAAATACTTTGAGAGGGGTAGGGACTGCAGATGCTGAATTGTGCCCACATTCATGCTTTAGTATTTCAAGCTACCTCTATTGGTAGAACGGGGGGG